CCCCCCCCCGAGTCCTTGAGAAGTCAGGACCCACAGGCCCCCTCGGGGACGCGGCCAGCCCCCAGGAAAGGAGAGGAAGCGCCTAGGAGGGGCGGCCCGAGCGGGCCCACCCAGAACGCAGAGGACAGCAGTTTCAGGATCCTAGCAGTGGATGGAGTGGGTGGGGGTGGGAAGGACCAGTCTATACCGGGCCCGGAGAAGCGGTGCTGGTCTAGAAGCCATGGCTGGCAGGACACATGGGGCTGGCGGCGAGGGGAGGACGTCTGGAGGGAGCCCAGCTGGATGGGGTGTCGGAACAGCCTCGGTGGTGGCGGCGGTGGTGTGGGGCCGGACGCGCAAAGGCAAACACAGGCAGCCGAGTGCGTGGATACTTTTATAAAACACAGGGCTGGGGGTCGGGGCGCCGGGAGCGGCCGGCTCACACGAAGATCTGGATGCGGTCGCGTACAGGTTGGCGACAGATGGGGCAGGCGCTGAGCGCGGCACCGCAGGGCGCGCATGCGCCGTGGCCACACTGGAACACGAGGCGGATGTGGCTGTCGATGCAGATGGGACAGGTGATACGTTCTTCCATCTGCCTGTAGCGGCTCTGCAACTCCTCCACCAGCTGTCGCGGGGGGCCAGGGACAGGGGGGGCGCTCGCCACCTCTGTGCCGTCTGCAGGGATGGGAGTGAGGGGGTGAAGTGAGCCACGCCCGCAGAGAAAGCAAGCAAAGGTAAGACCCGCCCCCTTGCGTTTGGAGGGCCAGGTGAGCAAGATTGCCTAGGGCCACCCCACCCACCTGGACGCAGCTTCTTGCTGATGACCACCTGGCACCTGATGCACTTCTTCATCCGGCGGGCGCACTCTGCGGAGTGGGGGAGGGCGCGTTGGGCGGGGCCTCATCTAAGCCTGACCCTAACCCCCTCAATGCGCCCGCAGGTGCCCCGTACCCACCCTCGCACACGGTGCGGTGCTGACAGGGCGAGAACAGTACCAGCAGCGAGAGCTCGGAGCACACCAGGCACTCAGCAGCCTCAGGCCCCGCTGCTGCCACATGCAGGTTGGTCACCGTGTTGGGGGTGCTGAGCGCGTGGCGCGCAGCCGCAGTGCCCGCACCGCCATAGCCCTCAGCTGCCTGCCGCTCCCTGCATTGGAAAAGGAGGCGTTTTAAAGGGTTCAGGTCACCACGGATCTCCACCACCTGCGGATCCGCACCACCTGCAACACAGGCGCAGGCTCACCGGAAGCGCTGGGCACAGCCCTGTAGGGCCTTGAGCACATGCCCCTCAGTGGCCAGGTCTAACGGGCTCCGGCCGCGGTGGTTGGCATAGCTCACGTCGGCACCTTCCAAAGCCAGGAAGCAAGCGATTGCCACGCCCACGGTCAGCTCCACGCTGCCTGGGAGGCCAGAGGACTGCAACTGGGCAGCAAGATGAACCTGATGAGGACTGGGTGATGCAGCTGACCCTGGATAGTCCCTCTCCCAGGGTCTGCAGCCTGAGGGTGGGGTCTTTTCCTTGGGCCTCTTTCTTGTCTGAGAACCCATGAAGGACTGCATTCTGAGGCCCTGCATCCACCCACTCAGCCCCCACTGGGGCCCACCCTTGTCCCTTTCCAGGTAGATCAGGTGTTCTGGCCACAGATATAGAGGGAGGGTCACAGGTCCCATTACTCAGGCTGCCCTACTGCCACGTGAGCCTGGCTCTCCCAGCTTTGGCTGAAGGTAGTCACCCAGGCCCTGCCAAGAGCCTGTGTCCACCTCTCCAGAGAGCCCAGGCCACACTTCCTCACCCTGGACAGCAGCTGCAAGGGTCCTGGGTCCCCCCCGGCCCCATCAGCCACCAGCGGCAGCGACTGGTGCCGCTGTAGCGCCACGTGCAGGGCAGTGTCCCCATCCTCATCCTCAGCGTTGACACTGCAGCCAGCATCCACCAGCAGCAACACCAGCCCCACGTGGGCCTGCTGCACAGCCAGATGCAGTGCGGACTGGAGCTTCCGGTTGCGCAGGTTCACGTCACAGCGGCCCTGGGGCAGGGGGCACAGGCTCAGTGCCCAGGATGGAGCTGGGGGGCCTCTCCCCAACCCGGGGCAGGCCGGGGCCCTATGCTAGCACCTCTCGAACGAGGATCTGGGCCACATCGCGGTGGTTGTTGAGGGCAGCCAGGTGCAGCGCTGTGAAGCCATCTTCCTTCTTGGCATCCACCAGCTGCCGAGCCCGAGCCAGAATCTTCCGAACAGCTCTGCAGGGGGCAGGGAGGTCTGGCCGGGCCCAATGACTGCCGCCATGGCTGGACCATCCACCCACCTACTCATTCTACTCACAGAACGTGGCCCTTGAGTGAGGCGTGGTGCAGCAGCGTGAAACCCTGGCTGTTGGTGGCAGTCACATCAATGCCCGGCACCTCAGTAAGGATCTCGACAATGCCGCTGGCGCCAATGCCCGCTGAGATGGCACAGTGCAGCGGTGTGTCGGCGTGGGCATCCTGCCAGGGGGTGGGCCAGGGTCACTGGGCCAGGAAGCCACCCAGCCACCACCGTGACCCTTGGGTAGGACCAGAAGACCCAGGCGTGGGCACTTACAGGCAAGTTGACGTTGCAGCCACGCTGGCACAGGACCCGCACCACCTCCAGGAAGCCCCTCTGCACTGCCACGTGCAGCGCAGCACTCTGAGAGCTGTTGAGGGCATCAGGGTTGCAGCCTGCGCTCAGCAGCACTCTGGCAGCCTCTGGCTGGTTTCTGGAGGAAGGAAGCAAGTGGGGTGACAGGTTGATAAATGGGATCCCTCCCATATGACCCCCACCACCACACACACTGCAGGCAGGTCTCACCCCAAAGCTGCGTAGTGCAATGCCGTGTTGCCCTCATCATCAGGCACATCTGCACCTGCTCGGGTCTGCAGCAACAGCCGAACCAGATCCACCTGGCCCAGGTAGGTGGCTACCTGCAGGGCGGTCCTGCCCTGGTTCTTGGTGTCAACCTGCAGGAAAACCGGCACAGGACCCCAGGCTCCTCACTGCCCTGTCTGGAACAGGTTGTGAGGTACAACAGACCGTGAGGTACAGGGGTGGGCAGCAGGGCCATACCTGCTCTGGGTGCCGCCGCAGCACATCTAGTGCCCGGGCTGCATTGCCCAGGGCCACCTCCACCACAAGTCTCCCTGGGTGCTCTGGGTCACTCTTCTGTGCCCGCAGTTTGTCCAGGGCAACGCTCAGCGAGCCTAGGAGTAGGGGGGAGGTTAGGCGGCAGGCCAGTTCCAGCCCCCCACTGGCCAGCCAGGTCTGCCCCTACTTTTATTCTCCCGGGCACGCTCAGCCACATCCAGGTTGGCATCCTCCTCAGGCCGATAGGCCACCAGGCAGGAGGGGCTGAAGGTCCACAGATGGCCGCCAACTGCCACATGTAGGTTTCCATCGCCAAATACCTTCACAACCTTCCCGACTCGGCCCAGGGCCTATGGTGGTAGAGGGCAGGGTCACAAATGAGTGTCCAGGGCAGGGCACCAAGGTCACGGGAAGTAGACACTCACAGGGGCCATGTCGTCTGTCCACTCGCCATGCCCAGCCTGCAGCCGCTTCACTGCGTCAAGATCATCGATGACTCGGACCACGTCGCCCACCCAGAAGGAGTTGTGCTGAGTGACAAAACAGTGTGTGAGATGTTCAGGTGAGCAAGGGCAGCACCAGCAACCCATCCACCCAGAGCTCAGGATGTGGGGATAGCAGCCAGCTCAGCATGATCCTGGCCAAGGAGCTGGTCCCCGAGGACCAGAATGGTCTGGGGGTGGCGCCAAGAGCCACTGTCCACGCCTGCTGCTCCTGTGTCATCTTTCCTGCCAACAGCCCCAATACACAGCTATCCCAAGACAGCCCTGCCACATCCCTGAGTCCCAGGTACGGAGCCAGCCCACCTCCCATGTCCCTACCTCTATTTTGTCCTGTCCTGGGCCCCCTACTTGCAGGGCTCCCCTCCTCCTGCCACCTGGCATCCTAAACAGTTCTCACGCATCCTCTCACTCTACTGTCTCCACCCCTCATAAATGTTCACCTCCCAGTCCCCATGATGGGTCTCCCCATGGCTCCTCTGCCATTCTCATTAGCTCTCCATGCCACTCAGAAGATCCTGCTGTCCCTTCCCTGTTCAAACACGCGGACTGCTTCCAGCTGAGACCTCAGGATTAGGTAAGTCCCAGTCAGTCACTCAGCACCCCTGGGACACTTGACACTGATTCCCGTAACCTGCAGCTACTTCTCTGCCCTCAGAGTCCTGACACGGGACTGAGGGGCATGGTGCACACCTTGATGAGCGCCCCAGGGTGGAAGGTCCAGCGGGTCTCGTTGCTGAATTGCACCCGCACGTCTCCACGGTCGGTGATGCGGTGCACGGTGCCCGTCTGTCCGATAAACTGTGGTGCGTCACGGAGGCTGTGGCTGGGCTGATAGGACTCTTGGGGGAGGGGTGGGGGCTAGGGTTCCAGAGAACGTGGGAGGGGAGGGGCACACTGGGGCAGATGGGGTCCAGCTCACCTCAGCCATTCTGGGGTTCCACCCGCCATGACCTTCCTGCATCTCCCTCAGTACATCTGTGTCCAGCAGGCACTTGACCTTGTCTCCATGCTGGAAGGGCTGGCCGTCTGCACTTACCCTCCTCTGCAGCTCTGCTGGTTTGCCTGTGAGTGGCAACAAGTAGGCTTCAGGCAGTGAGCTCCTCCCCACTGGGACATCACATGCCAGTCACTGTCCTTACTCAAGTCCCAGAGGCTGAGCTGAGGGCAAGAGGGAAGCAGTGCAGGGCATGTGTAGTGTTGGATGGGGCCAGCCTCATACCGAGCCGTGGGAGGTGTTCTTTATAGTAGAAGCCACCAGGTGCCTCTCCCACACACTTGAGATCCACTTTGCCCTTGTGGCCCACGCGGTATACGTTGGTGGTACCATCAGCCCACGTCACACTGGCCACACTCCGGCCTGTTTCCACATCCCAGCCACGGATGTCCACCACACGACCTGGCTTCCCTTCTCCTCCTAGGGAGATGTGGGCCCTGCTGGCAGGCTAAGACTGCACCACGAGGTTGAGTCATAGCCCACCACAGCCCCACCACAGCCCATCTCGCCACCTACTCACCGTCTTGGGCACCCCACTCCCAGTCGGGGCCCCGCACCACCTTTGCCCCTTGGAAGATGCCCCTCAATGGGATCCTTGGGAGACTCTGTCGGGGACTCAGCGTGATGCTGTAAGAGAAGGGATCCTGAGGCACGCAAGGGTCAGGATGAGATGGAGCAGGCCATCCACAATGCCCAGTACCTATTTGCACCCTTGGTTGGGCCTGGATCCCATGCCCAGCTCTTGTCCTGCACCAGCCTGGCAGGCAGTGCCCTCCACATCTTGAGAGGAGGATGCATGGACTTCTAAACAACCTGAGCCCAGGGTCCTGGACCAGGCCTGCTGACTGTGTTCCCCAAAGACTTTCCGATGCCAGGCTAGGAGGGCACCTGGGCTTACCCTCACTGCACTGCCCGTGTTTATGGTGATCTCATCTCCTTTCCTTCTGGGCTAGATGTCCCTCTGGGCCATCTCCAAAGGGTCATCCTCAGTGCATGGCCTGCCCAGAAAAGGGCTCAGCTTGTGGGACATGAGCATGTATAAACAGCAAAGCTTTCTCCAGAGGGTGCTGCCAAAACCAAAGCCAACCAGCACCTCTCTGAGTCCTGCCACAGAGCTGGCTCCCAGCTCAGTGGTCCTGCTTCAGGCTCACTGCCAGCATGTGCCTGCATAGGATGTGGCCACCTCTTCTGCAGCTGTTGCCTACATGTCCTCATAGGCCTCCCCGTGCATGCTGATGAATAGGGACTCACTGGCTTTACAGGTGGCAGCACCCATTTCCACAAGCCTGTTCCACAGACACGGCTGCTTCCCATGGAAAGTGGGTCTGCTCAATGCCCAGGCACTCTGAGTGACCATGTCCACCCTATCAGGAGACGGCTCTGTCTCTAGGCCCAGGGAAGGGGAGAAGCAGTTCCAGGCCTGAGAGCTCATAGATATCAAGGCCTGGTGGGGTTTCAGCAGCAGCTTCAAGCAGACTTGCCTTAGTGCCTATGGCTCCACCTGAGTAGGACCAGTGCTGCTAGGCCAGATGGGCAGCAGTACTCACGGGCGAGAGTGGGCCGTCTCGTAGCGCTCGAAGGCGTGGGTGAGGTCATGCTTGTTGTGCATGTAGCACTGTGTGCACAGGTCATAGTCGAAGCACACGCGGCATTTCCAGCGCATGCCCCGGAGCCCATGCTTCTTGCAGCAGTCACAGATGATGTTGGGGTGGCGCACGCCTAGGGCAGAGCCAGGGCAGGTCAAGAGAGACAGTCCACCCCCTGGCCCTCCCTCTTTCCAGTGCCCTGCCCCTGTGCTTGGACTCACCAATCTGTGCATTGTCGTAGAGCAACAAGTCATGAGCACCCTGGTAGCCGGCGCGGTAGTTGGTGCGGGTGCCATGATCCCACTGCACGACGACTGTGCGGTCAGGGGTCGAGGGGCTGCCATGCCTGCCGAGCTCCACCACGGTGCCCACTCCACCCTCACCGCCATCCTGATGGCCCCACTTCCAGTCCACGCCGCGCACCACACGCATGCCCACCTGCACGCCAGCCTGGGGGTCTGGGTCCATGGTGGGTGGGGGCTGCTGAGGACCTAGAGACAGGGGACCCACTCTCTCAGATCAGGCCAAGGAAGCCTGCCAAGCCAACCTGGACACAGATCTGATGCTGCAGTGCCTGGAAGGGCTGGTTCTGACAAGGGCACAGCCAGCCATCTGGCACATACTCAGTTTGCAACTGCTACTGGGTGTTTCATGTGTATGTCCCCAGGCCAGAGGCTCCACAGCCATCCCTGACCCTGACTCTGGAGAATAGGAATGAGAACATCACACTGGTGTCTGTACATGGCACCCTAGCAGGTCAAGAGGGAGGGACGAGAGCTGCCTAAGACTAGTGGAAGCAAGGAGAACTAGACAAAGATCATCTTTCCAGGGACCTGCATGAGCAAGTGACCGGTGGCAGGCAGAGCCTGGTGAGCATGACAGGAAGTATGGGGAGGAGGGATGTGGGCCTGCATTTTGGAAAGGCCACTGCACCACGGCTGCTGGGTGGGGACCACCAGGACTGTCCCAGGGAAACCTGGCCTATGGCCAGAGAGGTGTGTCAATGATGCCTGCTGACCATGGCTGTGCTAGTAGACCTGGCTGGGTGCCTAGGACAACGGGATCATCAGGACACATTGTTTAAAATTAAAAGATGTGGATTACAGGTATGAATGTGAAAGGAAAGACACTAGAATGCACTGAAGAACAGCTGTCCTTCAAGGCCTTAATGCTGCTGCCATACCATCACACTGGAGCCGACTCAGAGCTGGCCCTTCAGTGGGTTTTCAGAGGCAGTAAATCACACTGGAGAGAATGCTCATCTTTCTTGGAGCAGCTGTTAAGATTTGACCTGCCCTCCTTTGGGTTGGCAGCACAACTCCTTTCCACTAAGCCACTACTCCAGCGCCTTAAGAGACTAAAAAGGCAGCACCACATGAGCACAGTCCCCCTCAGCTCACCTCAAAGGCCTATTCCCACTATGTAAACAACGCCACAAACCTTTGTACAAAAGCAGTCAACCTTCCAATAAACGGGAGAAATGTTTAACAGCCTCTCTGATGACACCATACACCTGGCTTCTCTGGCTGACAGGCCACTCACTGGTCCCCATGTCCATCCAGTGGCCATGCCAGTGCAGACAGAGGTCCTTCTGGGCCTTCTCAAGAAAACGGACCCAACAGCACTGTTCTCCTGTGTCCCCATGGGAAGCATGGTTAGCCCACCATGGAGTGTGATGTCCCCAAAGCTACACACAGCAACTGAGTCAATCACAAGTGAACCACTAGAGGAAAGGGGCCAAACACGAGTGCTCACCATGTGATTCTGTTTGTTTTGTTGTGGTGTTCTTCTTTTTCCTTGCTATGTATCGTCAAATCAGATCCAGCTGGCACAGAAGGAGATTACCCCTCCTTCTCCAGAGAAGCATCTGGTAGATTTGAAACACATGCCTTGGGGATTGCAGTGTCAGCTTCTTGCCACTAGGCCACCAGAGCTTCCTTCACTATGTAATTCTGCATTTGTCAAGTCCACACACCAGGGAACTAGAAGTCAGCGCAGGCAAGCCCTTGGGGGAGCAACCTGATCCAGGTACCAATTATACACATGTTATTTTGCAAATATGCATCGGCTGTGTGCATTGGATACCTATCCTTTCAGTACTACTTTAAAAACTTTGAAAAGATACAAATGGATATGAGGAATCCTTGTAAGACTGTGCTTTTTGGAGGCTCAGCCTGCCCACCTTCTGACATTGAGAGTTCCTCTCTCTGTTCTCAGGGTACACCTTAGTGCCAGGCTGTGTCTTATCCCTGATCCTGTTCTTTGCTTGCTGGATGGGGCTTCAGCCTTGCTCACAGGCCTAGCATCCTGGCCTTTTGCAAATTCCCCTCTTTTCTTTGTGTGCCCTGTGTTGGTCCACATCTCATTCTGCCCAGGGCCTCCAGGGTTTTGACAGATATCTGCATCTTAAAGGACAGTCTCTAACCAACCAATTGATGTTAGCTTCTTGGAGGAGGCTCCACAGTGCCCTGACAGGCCCAGAGGTGCCTCCCTGTGCCACACAGCCTCCCACATGACCCAGCCCACTCTTAGTGATGGCCACATGAGATCTCAGGAGCTTATTCCTCTTTCCAGGATGCACAGACCTACTCCAATGAAAATGCCTGTGATCACTTCAATGGGTGAGGATCAGGTGGTCAGACACCGTGGCTGGCCCTGCCCCCCTGGAGGATGGTATTGGGTTGCTGAGTGCTGGGAAGTGGGAGCCTCAGAGATCACACATGTCCACAAGACTGGCCTCTGTTCAAGTGGCACCTGGCTGCCTGCTGGCACCTCTAGTGCAGCCCCTCCTAAGGACGCTGCAGGGTGGAGTACAGATGCAGGACACAGGAGGGGCCTCCCCTGCAGGTGGACACAGCAAGTGTTGTGACAAAAAGGGGGTCAGTACCCTGAAGGGTATAATGAGCACGGCTGGGTGGGATACATTCCTCCTTACCTCCCTAACCTTTCCCAAACAATCCTATTCAGCTGGACTTCTCTAAAGCAGGGCCTGAGACAGGCAATCACAGACCACACACACAGGCACACAGACAGAGAAGACTAGAAGCATCCCTCAGAGAGGAGAACTCCTTGATCCCTTCAGCCCTACACCACTATCCTAAGGCTGCCGGCTGGCCACCAGCTGCTGTTCCCACCCTGTTGGCTTCCTACTGCCCTGGACTCTGTCCAAGTTCAAAGGAACAAGCAGGAGATGGGAGTAGGGCAGAAGGGACACCCAGTAGGATAAAACCAGGGCCAGCCCCCCACCCATGGCTATTGTGAACAGGCAGCAGGCTGGGGTCACTTGCCAGCACCTCTGGCCAGCACCTGCTTATGTCATGGATGGTATTTTTAGCAGCCACCCTGGAGCAGAGACAGATAATCCACCAACCCTGGCTGATAAACTGCTACCGCCACCCCTCCCTCCCCCAGAGCTGAGGGGCAAGATACAGCAGGGCAAACACTGAAATGAGAGTCTCTTCCTACACTCAACAATGCTACCTTCCACCAGCAGCCTTGAGACTGGGGAGCCAGCACTGTGTCTCCATTCGACGTCCTCCCCATGTCGCAATGTGCCAGCACTGTTCTCAGAATGGCACAGTGCAGAGGAGTTCACACCTGCGAGTGTGCAGCACAGCCAGTCTGGGTAGAGAATGTAGGCTTGGTACCCAGGGTACCCTGGGATTCACTGGAGCCCAGGTTCATCTTCTAGTGGAACCTCTTATGTGGATTATAGGGATTCAGTCTCACCAGGCCCAGCGCTGAACCTTAATGGGCCTGTCTGGTGGCCCAAGGAGGACAGTGATGGTGCCATGTTCAGGGAAGCCTTCTGGTCACCTCTTCTTCAGTCCTCACATCCTTGGAAGCAGGGCCCACAGCAGTACCCCCCTTGCTGCTCTGTCCTGCGTGTCCAATGCGGGGATCCCACATAGAGTTCCTGGACCTCCATGCGTCTGTGTCAGGTACCTTCCATCTATCTTATTCCATCCTGCATCTCAAGCAACCTCAGGCCAGCCTGGGCTCTCACCATTGTCCCCAGGGCCTAACACATCACTGATCACATCCTCCTATATAACCAATGCCCCCCAAACCAGAGCTCATAGTCTGGTCACTATTCCAGGGTCCAGTGTGTCACTGATGGACATTTCTCATGACATCTGCCTCCCTTACCCTCCCCTTCATCAAGCTGGGCCAAGACGCAGAGACAGAACACAACAAGGACAAGCAGAGAAAGGCATCTGTTCCCCAACTCCATCCAAGAGGCCTCTCATCACAGGACAGACAGGACACTGTCCTCTTTGGTGGCAGGAGTCACAACCATCCTGGATGCAGCAAAGGCTCACCCTGCTCCCATCCACAGGTGAGTTAGGGACTGTGGGCCATATCAGGTCAGGGCTCAATGACAAAAAGGACTCAATCTGTGGGCTGCCCTGGCCATCACTGTCCTCTCTGGGCCACCAGACAGGCCTGCTAGGTTTAGCACTGGGCTTGGGTGAAACTGAATCCTGAAGGGGCCAGGTGGAAGGTTCCACTAGAAGGTGAATCTGGGCTCCAGTGTGTCCCAGAGTATCCTAGGTACTAAGACTACAGGTGTACCCAGGCCGGCTATGCTTTGCACTTAGGCAGGAACCTGCCCAGAGCACCCAAGATGAGAAGGACCAGGCAGAGGCGGGATACTAGTGGACCCTTAGGCACACAGGGGTCACCCTTCATCTCCCAACATCCCCTTTCCAATCATTCCTGCCCTCACCCTCAAGGCACAATGGATCCACTCCCAATTGGCTCCTTCCCTCCTTCCACTGAGCCTCTCCAAGCTGCTCTGTCTGCTCTGCACTGGGCTAGAGGTGGCAGTGACCAATGCAGACCTCCCAGGCTGGCTGTGCCCTGCCGCCCTAGAAACAACGAAGCCAGAGAAGGCTGTGTGGAAGAGCTCCGGGGACTGCCGACCCTGGATGTCCACACACTGCTGTTTCAGATCCACAAGGAACAGGTGCTGACCATTCCCATCCCTCCCTCCCATAGACACACTTCAAACATCAGCATGTGAGCGCTGCAAAGCACAGCACAACTGCACCCAGCATAGTGCAAAGATTTGCACCCACAGGGTGACGGTCCCTCCTTTTCTTTGCCAGAAATATTACACTCTTGCCATTCTCCCCAGAGTTCACAGGGATGGTCTGGCAGGGGAACTGCTTGGAGGCTGCCACTTCTGGCCAGTGCATGAGGATTCAATTGAAAAACGAGATTCCGTTAAATCAGAACTTACCTTAAAGCACACACTGGCCTCACGTCAGCATCCCAGGCTGCTCCCTAGGTCGCTAGTGTGTTCCTCCATCCAGACTTCCTGTTGGAACCCAGCAGCCATGCCAACACAGCAGGTTAAATGGGTTCACCAGCAAGCAAGTCTAGGGGGAACGTGTCTTCCAGTAGAGTTTTACACTTTCACATCTGCGGTCCACACAGCAGGGTGTTCTCCAGGTCCCCAGTGTCTCTTCACAAAAAACCA